AAGTAATACGTCTGTCAAGGAAAGCTGTGACCGCCAACTGGTAGTGTCATAATGAACGAAAATACAATGAGACTGGCTTATAAACTGAAACAAAGATCAAACTGCGTCACAATTCACCGATCTTTTACACTTTTGTCAGGATTCGACTTTCAGTCGAAAACCACTTATCTCAGATGTAAAAAGAAAAACATGGCTTTAGTGGTGTTTAGAACGTTAAAACTATGAAATGTGGTCTTTTGAACCGAGTTTCATCCACTTCTGTACTTATGTTAGGATAAAAACTGTTTGGAGTGTATGACCTTAGTTGTGTTGTTTCAATAACTGTTGGTGTATTGGTATAGGAACGATGTGGTGGACCCTTTTATTTGTACACGAGAGCAAATTTACATTTAAAGTACAGCTATTTCCATCCATGTTTACCCCACAGTATTGCGTCCTAAATATATTCAAGCTAGATCAAAGTCGCGATTCTGATCTGGACGAGGCAAATTTTTAATATCGTTTGTCTCGGAACAAACTTACATATACCATATGATATGGCAAAGAACACTGTCATTTTAAAAGAGGTATGATCCCTTCAACCATATAAGTTCATCAATGTAAACAATGATGCATTCTCCAGAATGTTACAATTCAACAATACATTCTCAAATCCCTAAACTATTACCAGAGGACTTAGCCGAACCATCTTGTACAGATTACCACCATGATACATTCTCCAGAATATCCAGTTTTTCTGGTTGTCATTAGACCAGATATTGTACAATTCATTTCTTCAAGTGACATATTTTTATTGTTCTTAACCCAAATTTTGAAGCTTAAGGAACCGTAATGTCTTGCCTTCATAGGTGTAATGGTGGATTTTATACTTAAAATTCAACAACATAGAAACTCCTTGTAGCCACTAATATCTTGAGGGTCAGAGTTTAATGTCAGATGTTTTTATTTCATACCACGCTTAACAGTTTCTACGGTTATGCAATGGTTCATTAGTATTAGTTAAGCCAGTTTTAGGTAGTTCCTGCTTACTGTACGTAGACCAATCGTATTATTTTCCTTACTAACATAATCCCCAATAAGGATCATGTAATTTTGAGCTCTCCAGAAGCTGGTGGCATGGAATTAAACTTAGATTTAAACTTAAAGCCTTTATTATTACTGATGTTACCAATGCCACAAATTATGTGACAAATAAGATAACATTAACTGGATGTATACTCCTAGCTTCTGCAAGTATAAACAAAATAACGGAATTTGTTATAATATATTTCAAATCAGGATCAACACGTGAGTTTTTTATGGTCACGCAAATCTTGCGATTTAGACTATCCATCATTTTCGTCAATATGAAAAAAATATGCTATCTGACCAAGTGACTTGTCACATGATATTATTATCCAGATACCAGAACCACAGTTTCAATTAAGAAAATATTTACAATCACAATCTTATATTTGCTTAGTGCGAAAGCTGGATATTCCCCTATAAACCTGTTAATTCTATCTAATCAAAAACACTTTAGGTGTGAAAAAAAGGTGCAGCCAAAAAATGTTTCAGCTTGAACGGGGATCTGGGAGGGTCAGGTATGAAATATCAACCTCTTCCTCCCTCGTGCACGGATGTTTTCAGCGTGCGACTTAAAGGAATGATATCAAAATTGGCGGCCAAAGTGGTAGCTACACTTATAGCATTGATAAGAAT